GTCACAAATTTGGCTTATACTGGCTCAGCGACAAGAGTTAACATAAGCATCAGATATATCCGGTCTAGAATGTAATTTCTTCCACGCATCCAATAACCAGTCCTAGAGTGAGCTTGCAAAAATTTCCAGCCTTTTTGTACTATCAGTTTAGACTGACGAGTCCCAATTGTCAAGCTCAAAAGGAATGTATGGGACTTATTGGACTAAAGCATTCCTTCTCATATGATTATTTTGTTTCAGTACTTACTTCAGTATTGAAATCCCATTTATACGCAGCCTAAGTAAAATTTTTTATATATATCAACACTTCAAATCTTTACTTCTATTTTGCTCATTCGTGCGCGAAGGATGACAACAGTGTACCTGTGATGGGAAAAGCGCGAAATTCCTGAGCGGATCATCGTGCATGACCCAGCCATTGCATGCCATTATTCTTTGGCAGCGGTCCTCCTCGAATGCATATCGTTCTTCCTCCCTCCAGTTGTTTGGCGGGAACTGCTGCGCGAAGTACCTGGGTTAACGACGTTAGAAGTTTCAGAAGTTACGGAGGCGCGAAATTGAGCAGATGAGTTGAAGAGCACTTACTGTACAAAAAGACCGTGCTCTTTAGTGATTTTCGGAAGTCGCGGTCCTTCAGGTTTTATTCGCTCGTAATCGATGTGTCCCCTACAAGCTTCCAGAATGTTTTGGAGAATTCCGTTAGCAGTTGTCGACCCCTGTTCGTTCAAGTAAAGTAAATGGTCGCGGAATGTTCCCAAACATTTGTTACGTCGCTCTTCTTCATTCCCAGCGTCCTCTCTGAAAATGAACAAGTTAGGCGCCACTGCCTTGAATACATCAGCAGTGAAAGCCACCAAAGCTTTGTGTAGGTTCAATCGTCACAGGCTAGTAACGGCATTCGATATCAATACCTTGGCCGATTGAAGATTTTGTTCGCGCGCTTCATGTCAACAACGTGACCGAATCGATTCCAGTGTGGTCCTGGCTTCGACTCCAGCATTTCATCCAGCACTTCATCTGA